ACCTGTCTTAATTTCTTCACAGCACTCACACCCACTTGAAGTTATTTCACTTAAATGTCAGTTTATTTCCGACATGTCTCCCTACCCTTACCTCAACTGGAATGTGAAGTTTTCTAGAGTACGGAACTGGCCTAGTTCATAACTGTAACTCTTTTATCTACACATGTACCTACTCACAGAATATGCCCAGTAAATATTAACTGAATAAATAAGTAGTATTTTTTTCTGCAATTACTTTGAGCTCAAAACTTAGAAAGCTATGAAAAAAAATACAAGAAAGACAGGCATTAAGTGTGAAAGAATTTATAGAAACATAATACTCACTGAATACTATGTTTTCCCTTTTTTAAAAAACCTCAGCTTCATATATGTTGCTCCATGTATTAAAACATCTTTGTTCTTATTTAAAAGAGTTATCAAGGCAATTCTAAGGCAATAAAATCCTTTTTACACCTGGTCATTATGATTATAATCAATTTGGCCTGCAGCCTAAACCAAAATCAGTGAGCTACACCAAAACAGCAATTCCTAAGCTTAACAGCACATGAGAACCGTCTGGGGAGTACGTTTCTAGAAGTCAGACTCAGGCCTACTGAGATAAAATCGTGGGGAACCAGGCCTGGAACTCCACATGGTCTACAAGCCTCCCCAGGTAATTGTAATATACAGCCATAACCTATTTTCAATTACATCGACTTTCCAGACCTCTTCATGTTCAATTTTAAATCATTAAGCCAGAGCAAGTCTTTTCATTTGTCAACAAACGTCCATTAGTCTCTTACTTAAATGTCAATTCAAAAACAGAGCCTCCGCTGTCGTTGCAAATTGCAAGAGTTGGATCATCTGTAAACTAAACAGAGACAGAATTTATTTTTCTTGTAGATTTTTAAACAACCAGTCAAGTATTAAGTTGCCTACAACATACATATTTAGCATTTGAAGAAAACTAGATTTAGCTCATACTTCAACATACAAAATTATCTTTATTTGGAATAAAAATGGCTCTTTCAAAAAACGGGGCTTTCAAAAAGTAAAACTACCTTTTATCAGGATAAAATAAAAATACCAACTATGGTTGCTAAAAACCCTGAAGCTCTCTACTTGGGTTCTTACATGAAGATTTTCTAACTTAATATTAAATAAGCAGGATCACTTGCATACACTTGCAGTTGCCTAGTTTTCAAAAATAAGGACATGGTAAAAGTCACTTGGGAACACTAGCAAACTTGTCTGAATAAGTTTTCTGAATAACTGAAGAGTTAATATACAAATTGAAAACATCTTTGGAACTTTTATATAACTCTTCCTGAAATGTGCTATGTCCTTGATCTTCGACAGGTTATATTTCAATTATTATTACCTAACCTGAAAAATGGAGAATAGTAAGTATTCACAATGATACATATGAGGTATGGTAAATATTACAGGACACAAAATGAAGTAACATCTCATATCATTTACAATGACTAGTTTTCCACAGCCCAGAGATTTTTATTCCGGAAGGGTTGAAATACAGGAGGTAAAATTCTTCTTCCCTGATCCTCGAAAAGCAATTGCTTAGATACATTAATGTGATGGTCCACTGGAATGCAGGAAAAATAGAACTCATCTTTCCATTTAATTTGTACTTCTTGTGTATGTTGTATAATACACTTAAAATTAGTACAATAGTACATTTATGGTAATTACATATCTCACACACACACACACACACACACACACACACACACAGTGTGCGAGCCCAAACTGTTACTGATGGGATATAGAGTAGTTTTGAGAAAATGAATAAGGAGAGGGAGGCAGAAAGAATTCAGATGTGTGGAGCACATGAGCCAACTCTGCACGGTGAATATATTTATTACACACTGCAAACATATACCAATAAAAAAAAAGATTCAATAGAAGCTTTAAAAACACTGCAGTACCAGTGGCCCCACCAATCCAAGACTGCAGAAGCGTTCGATCCCATCTGTCTGCTCTGTAAGGTCAGTGTCTGCACACACTACGTTCATCACTGCTCCCCAACAACACTGTGCTTTAATCTCAGGTGAATTTTTCTCTGCCTTTATCATTTATTTTATTTTTTCTCCCCATAATTTTATCTTTTTGCAAATACATTGGTCATTTATGAAAACTACCAATTAGTTATTGCTTCAATCAAGCATTTGCTAAGCAGTTACTATGGGTAAAACAAAAATAAATGATAGATTCTGATGTAAAAGATTTGAATTAACAGATAAGATATATACATTAACAACGATAATATATTTAGAAGTTGGCACATGCTCTACTAAAAGAGGTCAAGATAGATTACCATCATGTATTGAAAGAGGAGAAGTTCTCTCTTCTCTTACTTGTCTTGGCTGTTTTCATTGTTACTAAATGATTCAATGCTGCTTTGTCACAAAAGACTTTTTTTGTAACTAACCTAGATGCAGACATATAAACTCCAGATGCTCGCAGACTTTAAAAAGCATGTGTATGGATAAGAGAGCTCTGCACAGCTAAGCAACAAAATATGTACTTGATTAAATCTAGAAGATCTGATTTTAGACTTCCCTAGTTATAGTCCTTTTATACTTCTAAACATGGGCTTGCCAACATGTAAGAACCAAGATTCACATGTATTTATAAATGAAATCTATTACCTAAGTTGGTTTATTTTTTTTCAGACCTGGAAGGAGAAAGCCAAGACCAGGATCTTAAGGCTTTTTCTTTAGAGGCTTAAAAGAAAATAAATCAATAAATTCATTTCTAAACATATCCATATTCTGGTTCTTAAATAGTCTGTACCTTGGATACCAGGCAATTCCCAACAAAGGATGACTGACCACACTCCCTTAGCAATTAAATCTTGGTAAACCAGATTAAGAAGACTTTTTAAAATCTCTTTACAAGTTTTCAGCAGGGTGCTGCTTGTCTTTGTTGCCAACCACTAGTCTGAGATCACATCCATTTACCCTTTTTTGCTGCTATATATATTAGTCTTTGATATAATCTGAAGCTGAATAGTTCCATATTAACCATCTCTGGTTTTAACTTAGGGAAATATCTTGGTGGGCTATCAATCTCCAACTTCATACTAAACGTTTTTGAGGGGTGGGTGACTATTAATATAGATGAACTTACTTTAAAGTGAATACAAAGTCATAATGAAAAAGATTATTAGCAGAAGAAAGCCAAGTGGTTACCTTGATATGCAATATTGCTGTTCCTGGAGGATGAGCATCTGTTATTGATCGGAGAAGTTTTCCACTGGCCAAATCCCACATGGTGATCTATAAGACAACTAAGTGCTTTAAAAACAAATTTATTGCTCTTTTTTGGACTTAAATAACCTGCCTTCTGGCTGAAATAATCTATTCCTCATCTATATAACATTACAGGCAAAGAACTATAAAGTTAAAACATACCTAAATGTTGCAGATCCATTAAAGCATGGAGCCTTTTTTCTATCTTCAGCTAACCCTTATCCTGCCCAACCCACTTTCCCTTCAGATTTTAAGTGCTATTCTTCCCCCCCCACCCCAACCAGGGATTGAACTCAGGCCCTTGCACTTGCCAGGGAAGTGCTTATTCCACTAAGCCATCTCCCCGGCCCCTTTAAGTGCTATTCTTACACTGACAGGCAAGAGACTTCTCTAATAAGTCAATCTGTTTAGCACTGGTAAAAATGATAGGAAAGGGCAAGCCAAATAGCTCAGCGGATTAAAGCGCCTACTTAGGCAGACACAGGGGCCAGGAATTTGATCTCTGGGCCTGCTTTGCCAGCCCCGTCCCTCGGAGCACACTGAACCAGTGATTGAGACTGGGCAGGGTGGCGTGAGCCTGTAATCCCAGCACTTGGGAGGCTGTACGCAGGAGGATCACTACGAGTCCAATCTATGTAGTGAGACCCTGTAGACCCTGTACTAAATACCAAAAAAAAAAAAAAGAAGAAGATAGGAAAGGCTTACTGCCAAAACCCCAAAACCACCAAAGATGCATATACCAAGAGGTGGTACGAACCACAAGCCTATTACCAGTTTAGAAGTAGAAGAAAACAAACACCAAAATAGTTATCAAGGAATACAATAGTCAAGAATCTAGAAAGCAAAATACACTATACCTAAAGAGCACCCACAATTATGTACTATTATTGCAAGGAGATACATTTTATTTATCACCCCATTTGGTTTACAAAATCTATTAAAACAGACATATGATTTATAAAATTATAAAAACTATAGACTCTAGTTCAGTCAATAACAATTATTAGGGCCAGGGAGATAGCTCAGTAGAATAAGTGCTTGCCTGGCAAGCACAGGGTCCTGAGTTCAATCCCTGGTACCACAAAAAAACAAAAAAACAAAGCAGTCAGGCTCAGGTTGCTGTGGTTCGATCCCCACAACTCAAGGCAGCCAAACCTGCCCTGAAGGCACTCAGAGCAAAAAACAAAAAACAAAACAACTAACAATTATTTAATGTGAACAAGAGAAGAGACTGACCTTAGGTTATCTCAAGTTGCCCCTACAAGACATCATTGCATAAACTACTCTAGTCTTCAAACTATTGACCTGAAGATATTATTTTTTAAAAACTTGATTTTAACATGACTTCATAAATGAAAGAAAATTTGTGCCTTACCTGCCCTTTAGCAAAGCCACAAAGCAGTCTTGAGCAGTCACTGTTGATACTGAGGGCAGAGACGGCTCCATACTGACCCCCAACACTCGTGCTCCCAAGGCAGAGTCTCAACGCTTGATTCTGATCTAAGGAAAACAGTTTGCAATTAAGTGAAAGAAGAGGAAGACAGTGAAAATATATATGAGGAGTGTTTTCAAAGACTTGAGAAGGGGTAAGAATCAAAAAAAGCAGATAATAAAGCTACAGTCATTTTTTATTTTTATACTTAAAAAAATATTCAGCATCTACTAGAAACTGGGTATTAAGTAGACATTAACAATGTAGAAACAGTAAGTCCTACAGAAAAGGATAATACAAAACTTGCTACTAGCAAGTAGCAAAAAAAATAATAAGGCTGGGGCCGGGGAAATGGCTCAGTGGAATAAGCGCTTCCCTGGCAAGTGCAAGGGCCTGAGTTCAATCCCTGGTTCCACCCCCCCACAAAAAAAAAAAAATAATAATAATAAGGCTGAGGATCTAATGCAGTGGTAAGAGCACTTGTTTATCATGTGTGAGGCACTGAGTTCAACTCCCAGCACCTCAAAAAATAATCGTTAAAGAAACCTGAGATTCATGGGAGACACAGCATTTGAGGGATTTCTTTAGTGCACTAAGCTCTGGATCATTAATAATTATCACATCGTAAAATCTAGTCACTGCAGTAGGTAGGTTATTTGTAGGGTAAAATTGAACCTATATTTATTGTGTCAGACAGTAATTTAAAACCCTGTAAGATTTTAACAAATCAAGGTCATAGTATTTAAAAAAAAAATAATAATAATAATAATAATAATAATAATTGCTAAGATATGGTTTCTTCTTGAACAAACCAACTCCCTTTTAGCTGCCTCATTCTAGAATTGTATTTATTGTCATTTTCAAAATGCAAAGTTACAGGCAATAGCACCTTCACTTAAGAGCTTTAAAACTCCAAAAATCAAAATGTGTTAATTTAAAAACTGACTGAAATTTGCATTTATATTATCCACAAAGAAAAGGTTTACCAAGCAAATTAACAGTGTAAGTAAAATTACAGAGTAAACATATAAACTACTGCAGGAAAATTATTTCAAGCATAATATTTGATATGCTAAAAGCAAATAATTCAAATTTCTACTAGATTAAATTCTTTAGGGCAAGGATCTTCCCTTAATCATCTCTCATTTCTCTAGGAGGCACTCATTTATTAAATTTTATTATCTAATAATTAAAAGATATTGCTCTAGGGCCTCTTCTAGGCAAAGCTTATTTTGTGTACATTCATGACTGTACCCACTTGAAAGCAACAAAATTTAAAAATGTTTAATGTAAGAAACATTACAAAATTTAGCTGTTTAGGAAAAAAAAAAACAAAAGACACAATTCTTGTATGAACTAGTGTTCTTCTGACTCCCTGAGCAGCTGAGTGTCTCCCTTTAACTATCCAAGTGCTATTATGGTAATTCTGAGATGTGCCTTCCCTTCCCTAATAGAATATAACCCCACTGAGAGCTAAGCCCACAAATGAATTCACATTCTCATGACACTAGCTTTCACATTTACAAGTCAACTTTCTCTAAGAAGAAATCTAGCTATCAGAAAGAACCTAAAAGCATGCACTCTCAGGTACAGAGAATAATGAGAGGTCTTTGCCCATTCAAAGTGAGTATTAGAGGGGCTGGTGAGATGGCTCAGTGGTCTAAAGCACCTACTTGGAACAAGCTTGGGAAAGCACAGGGACCGC